AACCTCGGGATACGTGGTGAATGATTATGCATGACGGATAGGGGGCCGTAATATTCTCCCTCAACCGGACATTATAGCGCGAATCTCGTTCAACATCGGTTATGGATCAACAATTATCGAAAAAAGAAGATTTTTACCTTTTTTTAGACTTATACTAGGACTGAAATTCTCCTACTATATAAAGTGGAAGTTTTTCTTTAGTTTGATACATTGTAACACGCAAATCAAAGCAATAAGAAAATTTATTTTTGTCTTCTAGCTACTGTTCAAGGCATTACTTGTTTGTTCCTTTCTTTACTCACGACCGAGCTTGCACCGAGGGTTCGATCGAGGACGAATTCTGTTGTTCAACCTAAGATCAGGCTTGGTCATTGTATTGCAATTGGTTTGATCGTTTATTTATCTATAATCTATCTGTTATTCTTAATTATTCGTATTGAATTAAACCATATATCCTTTAAGCCGTGTACAAATTTAATTTTTACTCGTTGTTGGGGTAAACATAGTATACATTTGGTTATTTGTGAAAAAGGAAACTATTGTTTGATTTAATATAGCTTGAAAAAAATACATTTTTGAAGAAAAAAAAATTAACAAAATAGAGTTTTGATTTGATCAAAAATTTGAGATTATTGTAAAGATTTGGATCAAGTTGGGCGGGTTGGGTTATGACCCATTATTTAGCCTATTTTGACCCAGCCAATCTTAATCCAAATAAATTTTGAATGGGGTTGGGCAATGACCCATTTATTGAGTCAGCCCATGTTGACCCGCTCAAACACTGTCCAAATAACCCATTTGCCACCCCTAGTCAGGGGTGGAGCTAGAGTGCTATGTGCAGGTTCGGCCGAACCTAGTAGTTTTGGTTCGAACCATGTATTTGTCTTAAAAAATTTATATAAATTATTAATAAAGAACCCAGTAACTTAAAATAATTAGAATCCCCCAACCCATAAACTTAAAATCTTGACTTCGTCTCTGCCCATAAGACATTATAAACTTGTAATTTTAAACATACTATTTTTCACAATACAAATAAATTGCTGTCAGGTATTACAAACTGTGATATAAATTGTTCATTGAAAGCCACCACGAGGACAGCTAGAATAGGATAATTTATTATGAAGCATTGCTTAATTATGTTATGATCACTAGCTCTTTCTAATAATAATTACGTACGTTATTACATAGTAGCTTTTAGTGAATCATAAGGCAATATAATTAGAAGAAAAAGATTTTTCGGGATATCGGCCTAAGATCGTGGAAGTAAGTAATCTCAGATTATGACAACATATAAACTTAAAGTGTATTTTCATAAATGCGACACGGAGAAGGTAGTATGTAGGCAGACTTTATTCCTATTTTGTGAAGATAGAGATGTTATTTCCGCAAGACCCTCGGCTCAATAAAGCACAATTACAGCAGCTATAATAAAGAACTACGGAAAGCAAAATAGTACAGCAGCTAGAAAAAACAAAACCGAAGCAAATAGTAAGTATTAATATCAATCTAACAATAGGGAACACAAGGATAACACTAGTACAACAACTATAAAAGGAAGTACAGGTTTGGAAAGGAAATATGCTCGACTACTTACTAACCTACTACCCTAATCCTCCACGTCCACACCCTTCTATCAAGGTTCATGTCCTCGATAAGTTGAAGATGTGTAATGTCCTGTCTGATCACCTTTTCCTAATATTTATCTTCGGTCTACCTCTACCTCTCCTAGGACTCACCAAAACCAATCTCTCACACCTCCTCACTTGGGCATCTATGCCTCTCCTCTTCACGTGCCCGAACCATCTCAGGCTCGCTTTCGCATCTTGTCCATCACACAAGCCACTCCAACCTTGTCCTGGGTATTTTCATTTCTAATTCAATGCCTCCTAGTATGCCTACACATCCATCTCAGCATCCTCATTTCCACAACTTTTAACTTCTGAACATGAGAGGTCTTGATTGGCCAGTTATGCGCCACCCCATACAAAATGGTCCATCTAACCACTAATCTCAAATTCTTGTACATTAATGAACCATCACATTGAATAATTACTTCACACTAGCTTCCAAATTAAATGCTTAAAATAATAAAAGGATGTTATTGTTAGTCGACTAGTACAACAAAATGGTCACTTTGGTAACACTATATATCTCTTGCCCAGAGAAGTGCATTCTCCCATCCCCACCGGCTTCTTAATTACATTAACTATCTTTTTACTTCCTCTTCTGTATTACTAGTATTTACTATCATAATGGGTACTATCTCAGCTCGTTTTCTTGGAGTTGTTGTGTTGGTTGTTCTTTTCATAAGTGGAGCCATGGCTTTTGCTGACATTGAGCATCCGTCTGGTATGTTTGCCGGTAGGCGGTTGCTCGCTGACGGTGGCTCAGCCGGCGGTGACGGTGTTGTTGGGGGAGGACTGCTGGATCCGATAGCAGATGCTCTCGGTGTTACTGGAAATTTGTTGGGAGATCTTTTTGGAAAGGATGGAGGAAACTAATATATATATATATATATATATATATATATATATATATATATATAATCCTTGCAAAAGATTTCTATATTTAGGTTGCTGCTATGCATGCAGTAATTAATTAACTGGACTTGTGTTTCTTTTTCTTTTGAATAATTGGCTCTTGAGCTTCTTGCTTTTTTCATTTATATATATGTATTTGTGTGGTTTCTTTCTTCTCTCTAAACTTTCCGAGTTTCACTATTGTATCCAAAGTTTAATTAATAACAATAATGGAGAGTGAATTACTACTTTACATTCGTTTTGTTTTCTATTTTAAAGAGTTATTCTCAGTGTTGTTTAGTTACAAGTCTGAGCAGCAAGAGCTGAGGATTTCTTTGGGAAAATAATATTGGATAGACGCTCTTAAAATAAAAGTCAAGACATATAATGACCAAGGAGCATCACGTTAGCTTTGAAGCAGCTGCTTGATACTGGCATTTTGTGGACGTGGTTCGGTAATTGAATAATTTAAGAATAATTGAATTCTTTTTTCAAATTGATTCAAATTATTCGAACGTTTTATTATTTATTTATTTTTGTTTGGCGTATAAAAAACTTTTTGAATTCCCGGCAGAAAGAGATTTCGCTAACGAAAAAGCCTTTAATGCTATCGAATATCCCTTCCTTTTCCAAATATTTTTACGAATATGCTTTTTTTGATGTCGAAGTGCGTTTTTTTGGAACTGCCATTTAGAAATTGAAGATACGGATCAAGAAATTGAATTTCAATTATTTGTGGAAACATATCAATTGGTCGAACCCTTGATAAAGGAAAGAGATGTTGTGTATGAATCACTCACATATTCTTCTGAATTATATGTATCCGCGGGATTAATTTGGAAAAAAAGTAGCGATATATATTCTTTATGTTATATACAAAAATTGTACAAATTTTAAACACTTTTTAGGCTACCGAACGTAAAAAGTTTCTGGCGGGGGCTAAAAGTGAAAAAAGTCCGATTTCTTTTGCACAATTGGATAAGGTCTTCAATAGTGGATATACCTTTGTATGGTTAAAAGATTTTTAAAAATTATGATCTTAATTATGCTATAATATTTTTGTGACTATAAAAGTTCGTCACCGAAGTAAAATGATAAATTTAAACTTTATTGTTTACCTACAAATATAGAAATGGATCGTTCTTAAGGTAAACTAATAAGAAAATAGTGCTAAACAAATTAGCCAAACAGAGTAATAATTTAGGCTAGTTTGGAGAAAATAATGCACGAAGATACTCTACGACCGAGAGTTGCAAACTTTGTACAGCACGCGTGGCACGTTCTAATTGGTGGTTTTGTGTTGGAAACATTATGAGGAATTAACTTGTGAAATTACCCAAAATGTGTTGGAATCTTCACATGCACATAAAATGAAATCTTTTCAATAATTGTTGTCAGATTGACGTAATTACAGTTGAAAGTTGTAGACAATAAAAATTATAGTTACTTTCTGCTATTTTGTCGTAATTCACTCCAAATATTGTTATATGTCTACGTAATATATATATTTAGGTTAAGCTAATTAATATAAACTATAGAAGTACTTTTAGGGGTTGTTTGGTAATCCAACCCTCAGTATCAATGAAGAAAAGACTTGTTAAATGTTGCAACTCTTGTTGGCTCAATTTGGCTTCCCACTGCACTCTTTTTGAAGTGTTTGATCCCGTTCCTTTGCAACTTTCCTCAGCAAATGTTAATTGTTTCCTATGTCATAAACAAAAAAAAACAAAAAAAGAGCATATTTAAAATCAACACGAAAGAACTCGATGAATAAGAAAATAAGAAAATTATTGGCCACATAGTATTCTAGCCATAGTTTTTTCCTAAAACAACCTCTTGCAAAAATGTAAGGTGAGGCATGCGTACAATAGATCCTCGTGATCCGGTCTATTCCTGGACCCCGCATATAACGGGAGCTTAGTGCATCGGGCTGCTCTTTTTTATGCCTCTGGTGAGTTTTATTGGAATAGTAGTTAGTATTAAGCTGGGTTGAATGATGAAGGTTATATAGTTGTACCAACAAGAGTTGTGGTGGAGTAGTAACTACTCCTTCATCCTTAACTAAGGTCTCGAGTTAGAGCCTTGACTGAGTATGAAGTCGTCTTTGTCAGGGAGCGCTTTACCCCCCACTGTGGGAGTTCTCTGCGCCAGTCCTGATCTAGCCCAGTCCCAATACGGTTACCGAATACCAGGTGAAAAATAAAAAAAAAAGATTCTATAATTATAAATCACATGATAATATTTTATATTCCAATAAATGAGTATATGTTTTACAAATAACCCAAATCTCGCTAAAGGATGTGGTGAGATGATTGAGATTCCTTCATCATTATTTCGATAAGGAGCGTGTTAGCGTGAATCTGGATTAGTCTTACCATTAAGTTCCAATAAATCCGGAGGGTTAAAAGTAAAAAAGAAAAAAAGAAGTAAATAACCTAATTAAGTTGTGATAAAGAGAAGCCCTAGAAAGAGAGGAACTTACTCTTTGCCAACAAAAACTCCAGCAGTCCAACCCTCAGGAGTGATGACATTTGACATATTGCAATCATAGAATATAACTCTTGCATATTCTCTCCATGGCCTGCCCAAGAATGTTTGTCCACTTCCTATAACATTACAATTTTTAAACACAAAACCACTTACATCTTTAGGGTTTGATCTTCCTTGTGCTGTTATAAACCCTGCCAATCCATCTAAAGCTCTTGCATTTACTGATATAGTACAACTCTGCACATAAAAGTAGAAAAAAATTAAAGGATATATGTTTTAGTTCAATTATAAGAAGATATATAGATCACAACTGAGTAGAAAACAATGCATACAACTTTTAAAACTGATATATATTAGATTTATTTTCTAATTGTATCATCTAAAAGATTGAAGAGATGGTATTGGATAAGGTTTTGACTTGGCCACTAGGGTTTGAAAGTCAATGTAAGTCTGGTCTTTAGTGTTTACAACAATAACAACATACTCAGTACAATCCTACACGTGGGATTTGAGAAAAGTAGTTATGTATATGTAGACCTTATTTCTACCTTGTGAGATAGAGAAGTTGTTTCCGATAGACATTCGGCTATCTATAGTGTTTACAAGAAGGAACTTTTAGAAGTCATTTCTCTATGTGGAGTCTATATGATTTCAAATCCAATGGTTAATACAAGTCAAAAGTGGACTAATTAATTACTATATTTATAATGTTGGTGTATTTTAATCAATTTATGCGCACCTCAACTATAATATTAGATACTGCTACCTTCCACCAGCATATATATACCTAGTCATTCTGCAAAAGTGAATTAATTATTATCATGTATTGACTAACTCATTCCATTTATCTAATTACAAAAATGTTTAGGGCTCGAGACAGCCATGCTAAGATCTCTAGGCCACTGCAGATGCACCTTTCTTAATATTCTTTTTATTTTATTTAAATGCACCCTTTTTTAGGTAGCTTTTTTCTAATTCCATGAAATAATTGCAATTAATAACATGAAATCAAATCTCTTGATTAACAAGTCAAAACTAGAAAAAAATATTTAAGAAAATGGTAAGTAATTTTTCACCTCATAAAGTGATTGACCATTACCAAAGATGAAATCAACAGCTCCTTCAATGGTGCAAAGCTTGAAATAATGTCTTCCTTGAACATCCCATAATGTGTCTTGTAATCCAAGAAATTCACACCTATAAAACACCGACTTGTCGCCGGAAATCATCGCCGCCACCGCCACCACCCTCGGATTATTGTTGCGTTTCGGAGGATAATTGTAAGAATTCTGATTAAAGTCAAACATAATTATAAGACCTTATGTTAAAGTCAACCATAACTTTGGTTAGAAATTTTAAGAAATTCGAGAGTGTTTGTTATGATGTGAGAAGTCATTTTCCGAAGACTAATTTTTCGAAAAATGATTTAGTTTTTGGAACGCATTTTTCAGAAAAATATTTTTTGGAAAAAACATCTAGGTTGATTGTAATATTAGTGAACCGAATAGTATTTTTATAAATTATTTAAGTATTAAAGAATATTGATAATAAACTTCTGAGTATTGGTTAAAGCAATTGTATGAAATTAAGAGTTGGAGATAGTTGTGACTTCCCACTAATCCATTGAGAATATTTTGTAGAAACCAAATACCAGAAATGAGTTATTTTTTTGAAAATATTTTCCAAAAACTGTTTTTCTGTAATACCAAAAACTCCCTAAATTAACTCTTGTGAAAATTCTTTCTACCTTTTTGTTTCACTTACTATAAAAGTTATGCTTTCCACAATTGTATTATCAGCTTCTGAAGTGAAAGTAGCATCTGTAGCAATTGAGTCATGAGCATTCCAAGTCACACTTGTTTTTCCTTGATCTCCTCCTTTAAGATAAATATATGGCTTTTCTCTAGGGATTTTCACTTGTTCCCTACATGCAATATCACAACAATCATACTAAAATAGTGCATGAAATTTCAGTAAAAAGAAAAAAGAAGAAAAAAAAAAGATGAGTTTAGGTTCTGTGAACTAATAGCATATAATTTTTTTTATGCTACGATGTACAATTTATCTACGATAAAATATAGACTGATAGTGTAACAGTAAAGTTGTATCCGTGTGAGGTTCAAGCCATAGAAACAGCTACTAATGCTTGCATTAGGGTATGTTGTCTACATCACACTCCTTAGGATGCGACTTTTTCCCGAATCGTGCGTGAACGCGGGATGCTTTGTGCACTAAGCTGCCCTAGGGGGAAGATTCTACAGTGAATGTCACTTAACTCTAAAAAAGAGTATTATATAAATCAAGATAGTAAAGAGATACCTATATTGTCCAGATTTGATGTTAATACAAATCCAATTCTGGTTATTTTGAGGGACAGAATCAATGGCTGATTGGATAGTTTTGAACTGGCCATGTACTGATGGATCCACATACACTGTTCTGTAGTTTACCTTTTGCTGTTTCCACTGAAAATCACTAATATATCTTGCATTTCCTAGTTCAACAAACCCCAAGAAGAAAAAAACAAGAGTTTTACAGAAAAAAGAAGCCATATTTTCAAGAAAATATCAGTGGAAGGGAAAGGAAATTAGATACTATTAAAAAACTTGAAGCTGAATAACAAGTTTAAAACAAGTTAAAATCACCACTTAAATACAACTCTCTATATATGGAGTTATATTCCTTTTATTGGAGAGACTTAGAAGGTAAAAAATAAAAACTCGACCAAGTAAAGAATATTTCTCACAGAAAATAATTGAAATGATATGAAGAATCTGTTACCTTCCATTTTTATTTCATTTTCTCATTTTTTGAAGAATCTATGTTTTATTTCTCAAGTACTTTAATTACTAGAAACATTTATAGAATATATGATTGACAATTTAGATTTGACTTTAGAGTCTAACAATGGAAACTTATAAGGAAAAAGTGAAACGTGGAGAAACAATAGAGTTAGAAACTAATAAAGAATTTCCTTTAAAATGTAAAAAAGTAAAGTATGGGCGTTATAAATGGGTTGTTTGGTCTGGCAATTAACGTGAAAAAAGGTTCTCATTCACTGTAAGTGGCTTTAATCTGAGCTTACACACAAGATTAGCCTTTTATGAACTTTTAAACTAATATAAATGGAGAAAATTTGTTGTAAATAACCGATCTTTTCTTAGATGGGGATCTATCGAAAACAGTATCTCTGCCCTTCCAGGGAGTCTATTGGAAACAGTCTCTCTGCGAACATCCTGCCCTTCCCAGACCTCACTTGTAGAATTCCCCATACCTCACTTGTGAAATTACACTAGGCAGTTGTTGTTGTAAAACAATAATCTCACTCTGTACCATATATTTTACATTATTATTTGAGAAGTCAAGCAATTATTTCACTGACTATGATTTATTCAAATAATTCTTAAATATAAAAGTTTTTGACTCTTAGTAATGCAGTTTTTACTAAAAGCATGAAATTTGAGGAGATAACATCTGTATCACTAAAAGCATGAAATTTGATTTCATCACCAAATACAATGAAAGAGGGTCTACTGCTAAACTGAAAATAAACCACTCAGGAGCACAATGTAATGAAAAAAGAGAGGTAAGATTAAGGTAAAATATCAATCTTCAACAAAATTGTACTTCAAATGACTATGTCCCACTTCAATACTTGATAGGAGCAATAAGAGCAAGTTGAGGTCCAAGCTTCTCCTCAGCAGCTTTCTCAGCCTTAACTCTAAGTTTTGCCAATTGCTTTCTCCTCTCATATGTTACCTGAGCTCTCTCCTTTCTCTTGTTCTCAAGATCCTGTTGTAATCATAATTTCAAGGGAGAAGAAGTAAGCAACTGTGTGAAGATCATGGAAATGGCCACTAAACAAAAATTTGATGATGAAAAAGAAAACTAAGACGCTTATTCATAATTCATAAACGGCATACTACAAGCATGTAAGCTTGACATACACGAATTGCAGAAACGGTAACCCGACTTTTGAAGCTAATGTGCTCATAATTATAAGAATAAGGGCTACGCAGAAAAGCAGGGAACATAGAAGAACTTCTTACTGACTGAAAACATTAAGATGATGTTGCTAAAAGATTCTTATACGAAATAGCCAATGATTACCACATCTTGCTCCTTTATATGCAAGTAAAATATCTCCAAATAACAAGAGAGGACAGGAGGAGGGGGATATGAAAAGGGCTAAGAACAAGAAACTTACCCTGATAGTATCATAATGGTTCCATCCAACCTCTGATGAAAGCTTGCCCAAAAGACAGTACTTATGCCCTGCTTGGAGCCTCAATACCCTAGTAACAAAGAAGGCAAAATTTTCAGTGTTACAAGAATGAAGATACAAGAATATATAAATTATATCTGCAGCTAACAACTCACTTGAGAGCATCAGGAATGACCATCCTCTTAATCTTGTCATAAGGGGGTGGGACACCCTCATAAACTTTCAAGCGGGCAAGTGCAGCTGCCCCGCGCTTGGTCTTGTGAGGAATCATCCTAAGGTAAAATAAACAGACATAATCAGGCAAAATGAGATACACGGCAAGGGATTGAAATATGTACCACAACCATTGAATATATTTGAAGGCAGAAACAATTCATAGTAGTTCTAAAGGGACTAATAAACTATAATACTCATGAATCAAACAGGAAAACAGAAAATAGCATATCAGAGCGAGCAAGTGACTCATGTCAATTAAAAATGATATGAAATAAATATTGCACCACTTAGACAGAGGTGCAGATTTAATGCTTAACACACATTCAGTAAATGCTCCTCCAAGTTAATACTACCATATTGTTTCTTTGGGGCTTCGAAATTCTGGGATAATAGGCCCATCCCTCTACCCTTCTCAACATTAATACTGGGCTTAGTTCGGATGGCGCAGGGCTTGAGCTATGTCACAAGTCTCTCAACCTTTGCCACTTGAACTAATAGGCAGATATTCAGTAAATACAGTTGTGATGAAGTCCTTGGGTAAATAACAACAGGAACATTGACTTCATTCCTATACATACACCAGCTAAGATGTTACTACCATGAAATTGATAGGGCCTAGCTCTGTCATGGCAGAAGCGCTTTAGATTATTCAAATATTATGCCCTGCTTTCCACAATAAGTGATATTCTAGCCTTTCAAATTTGATCCAAAAGAAGTAATTTTTTTAAAAACCAAGAAGGCATTAGCTTTTTTTTAAAATTTATAGCCTTATCTAGAAAATGATTTGAACAAATTTCTAAAAATTCTTCCAATACTTCTTTACCTTTCCTATGAGTAGATTGGGGTAATTTGATCAAATAACCCTCATAATTAATGTTTTTCATTATTCTCCCGGTCCTATATAAGTGATTATTAAGGGTTTGACACACCCATTAAGAAATCACTTATATTAACCTTATTAAATGATTTCTTAATGAGTGTTTCAAACCCTTAAAATCACTTATACAGGATCGGAGAGAGTAATTAATAACATTAATTTTGGTAACGAGAGTATTAGAAGACTTCTTAGATATTTGTTCAATCATTAAGTTATTTTGGAAAAAATTAATACATTCTTGAATTTTAAAAAAAATCACATATTCTAGAAAAAATAAAAAAGGCTAAAAATCATTTATTCAAACCGGAGGGAGTAGTTTCCTACATGGGTGATGGATGTGCCAAAACCTTAAAAATCACTTATTGTTGAGCGAAGGGAGGGTTAAATTGATAATATGAAAAGGTATATCTACAACTGCAACAAGTATGCCTTAATCCCAAACGAATTGGGGTTTAGCTTCTTTTGGCACCTACGTTCCAACACTCAATATTCAGCCTTTTTAGTATAAACTCAAGGTTCTCTAACACAACACTATACTTCAATATTCCCTGAAATGAACCTCATACTACAACTAGTAGCTACGACATCACAAAAAGAAGGAATAACATGTACTTCATCTAAGATAAGAATTCTTCATCTAAAATAAGAATTTAAGTTATATATACTGAGATTGTAAAGATTTTTTTACACTGTTAGTGAAATTTAATTTATGATAGCAAATTTAGTTACCATTTTTACAAAATTATGAATTAATGTTTACCAAGAGACTTACTTGTAATTACCTAATAATTGACCTAATTGCTTAAATGTTATTTAAAATAGCATTACATAGAGCTTAAATTCCTAAAATAAAACCATGAAAAACACTATCAGCAAAGTATTTAAGTTATATATACTAATGGTGCAATGATTGACTTTTAATCTTTGATATACTTTTACCGGATTATCAGTTAATGTTTATCAAGAGATTTACTATAATTACCTGTGTAAATATTTTTAAAACCGTAAATGCATAGAACTTAAATCGGTACTTTCTAAACAATGTAGCAACATAATAGCTTTTTTTAAAGAAAGATACAACAAGAACAAAAGAAAGCATACCCAGGATGGCATGCCAAAGGATTTTAGAAGGAGCACAAAACTGATGGGACCATGAGAGGGTTTAGTTTTCATCCTTTTAATACAAATCCACCAGAGAGGCATATCAACCACAACTCCCTGTCCATTCAACAATTCCTAAACAATATTGAGGCTAGCCTACTCAGCATGTGGTGTCGTGCATCAACCATTAAGAGGGTTATTTGATTAAATTAATATACTCATAAGAAAATGTAAAAAAATATCGAAAGACTTCTTAGAAATTTGTTCAAAATATTTAGATAAGAGTAAATTTGGAGAATTAACTTTTTCCCCTAAATTTACCCTGGTCTCTAACAATGATAACAATCAACTGAACAAATTTCTAAAAAGTCTTTCAATATTTCTTTACATTTTTCTATGAGTAGATTAGGATAATTTAGTTAAATAACCTTCTTAACTAATATTATTACAACTACTACTACTATACTTAGTACCAAAAAAGTTGGAATCAGCCACATGAATCCTCACTTCTTTCATTAATAAATATTATTAATTAAAAACCACTTATTACGAAGTACGAACCAAAAGGAGTACCATATTGTTCACATAAAAAAGTATATCTACAACTGTAACAGATATGGCTTAAATCCAAGCTAATTGGATCAACTACAACAGTTATGCCTTAAATCCAAGCAAGCTGGATTCAGTGAAATTATGCCAACTAAGCTTCTTTTGGCACCTGCTTCATTCCAATACTCAATATTCGGTCTTTTTAGTATAAACTCAAGGTTCTCTAACACGAGAAAACATTACATTATTCCCCTTCAATAAATCACTTCTTACAACCAGTAGCATACATATACTTCATCTAAAAAAAGGATTTACGTTGTACACACTGATAATGTAAATATACTATTAGTGAATTTTAATCAGTTTGATAGCACGTTAGCTACCATTTTCACCAAATTACGAACACTTATCAAGAGATTGATCATGTGAATAATTTTTAGACTATCAGCACATAGAACTTAAAATGGGTACAATCTAAACAATGTATCAACACAATAGCAATTATAAAAAAAGGTACAAAGAGAATGAAATTAAAAGCATACCCACGAATAGTACGCCAAAGGATTTTAGAAGGAGCACGAAAATGGATGGGACCATGAGAGGGTTTAGTGTTCATTCTTTTACGAAGGAACCTAAGGTACTTCATTTTCTGCCTCACAAGTCCACCGGAGAGGCATATCTCTTCGCACCTAACAACCACAACTCTCTGTCCATTGAGTAGCTCTTTGGCTAAGATTGAGGCTAACCTTCCCAGCATATGGTGGCGTGCATCCACCACCGTCCTCTTTGCGCAGATTCCTGAACCTGATACCATCTTCTCTCTCTCCCACACACACACACACAGTCACTTGTGTCTCTGTGCAAAACCTAGGTACTGCTGTGAAGAAATGGGGGAAAAGCTAGGCTTTTGAGGGGGCGCGGATTTGGTCTAAATGGGCCGTGAGTCAGTTCGTGCTCCGGGTTTTTGTTTCTGGCCCATTAGAATCGGAATTGGATGATCATCAATGGGAATTGGGGTAAATTTCACAAATAACCACTTTCCAGAGGGGAAAAAAAATCAGAAATAGCCATATTCACAACTGGTAATTGAAAAATAACAGTAATATAAATTTAGCCACTTTTTCATGTACAGATATAATCTGAACAAAAACACCCGTAAAAATCCAGAAAAATTCCAGCATAATATGCTGGAGTTCGAATTTTTCACATATGAGATTCCAGTATAATATGCTGGAATTTTATAGAAGTTCCTACATAATATGGGGGAAGTTTAAATCGAGGAGCTCCATAATTCAACGTATTATGCTGGAATTTTTTGTGCTGGAGTTCCAACATAATATGCTGGAAGTTTATAAGCAGGAGCTTCATAATCTAGCATATTATGCTGGAAGTTTTCGTGTTTCAGCAAAACAAGGGCTATTTTTTAATGATTTTACAAACGCTTGCTATTTTTCGATTACCGGTCCAAAAACTGGATAGGCCGTGCTATTTTCACCTTTTCAGCTTATGTAAGAAATAGGGAAAATTTCAAAAATAGCCAGATTTACCACTGGTCGTTGAAAAATAGCCAAGTTTCAAAAGTCATCGAAATTTAGCCACTTTAAATCTGAGCGAAAACACTGTTCAAAATCCGGAAAAATACGCCCGCAAATTTTACGGTAGTTCCAGCATAAGTATGCTTGAACTCCCGTAAATTTTATGGGATTTCCAGGATAACTATGCTGGAACTCCCGCAAATTTTACGGGAGTTCCAGCAAGTATAATTGTCCAGTATAATATACTGGAGTTTGGAGCACTGGTGCTCCAGTCTCCCAAAGATTTTACAGGAGTTAGCAAAATATACCGGTCCACCATAATATGCTGGAGTTCGTACACAAATGCACCAGAACTCCCATATATTATACTGGATCGGTCCCTGTTGCAGCAAAATAGTGGCTATTTTTCATTGACTTGATAAACGCTGGCTATTTTTCATTGACCAGTGTGAAAACTGGCTATACCATGATATTTTAACTAAGAAATTGGTATTATTGAATTTGGCCTGTCAAATTTAGAACTCCGTGATAGAGACCATATTTTTAAAACAAGACCGGAAAGTGACCAATGGGTGCTATTCCAAACTCCTGTTGAGAATTATATATAGTAAAGTAAAGATATCTTAGAAATATTATCTTGTCCCTCATTACTTATAATACCACAATTAAGGACAATATAAATATTTAAAAGTTTTTCTTAATTGTATAGAACATAGTATTAGTTATAAAATATTTGAAGTGTACATATAAATGAAAACAAGATTGGTGCATTTAACTATTACTGATCCTTGGATATGTGCTTCATATATATATCTCGTGTCAGTTAAACAAAATTCAAATAAGAACATAATATATCAAAAAAAACTCATATATGCCAAGTATTTATATCAAATTAATAGATGGAATATATAATATGTTTTTATATATATATATATATTCACCTTATTAACTTACCAAAATATGATAAACTGATTCAGTGCGGGTAAATTTTTACCTCCTCCAAGCCACTGAAACAGCATCTAAGTTTGCAGATACTCTATTACGAATGTAGCCAAACAGTGATGCTAATTTTAATACTCAACACTTAATTATTTCAGCTATTCATTTTGACACATCACCTTTTCTGGTCCATGCATTATGACAAAATAGTAATTATCACTTGAATAGAACATAACATTAAAGTAAATGGACATATCATTTTCACGGTACACAAAAGTAATTATTTAATAGTTGTACTGAATAATAAAGTACTTGTTTATTTGAATAATTATGCCACAGTTTGGTCAGTTTTTCTTTCTATATATATAGTGATTGAAGAAATAACACTCGAAACAGAAGATAAGGGAAAGATTGAAGGGGAACGAAGTTATTATGGGAGCTAATAAGAATGTTTTGAAAACATATGGTGAAGTTTCTTTGCATAATTGTCCAGATGATTGTTGGGTAATCATCAATGCTAAGGTAAGTAGAGACTTTCACGATTTTACCCTTGTTTTATTAAAGAATTAGCTCAAATAGCCGGCCCGCCTTATCTCTTAAACTAAATATAGTCATGGATATATAATATATGTATGATTCATGTATAACTATGTCTACTCATTGTATGATCTATATATACAGGCCAAAAAAAAATAAATAGTAAATTTGACCGACTATTTGTGTAACAATCCCTTGTTTATTCCACCTCGGGTCTAATGACTTTTTGTCATTTTGTAGCAAAAAAAAAAAAAAACTAGGTTAAATTATACTCTCTCTATCTCAAATTATATGTCTTATTGTAGCATAATTCTGATATCGATTGCATTTTTTATAATAAATTACACTACTAAAAATTCAGCAAAAATCGACCAAGAAAATTGACCAACTTTGGTCGGTAAAAAAATCGACCAAAAAATTTTTAATTTTTTTTTTTACGAAAACGACCAACTTTGGTCGGTTTTCTTTGGCGCAAAAATGCAGGAAACTATTTTTGAGTCCCGCGAAATTTAATTTTCAAGAAACCGACCAACTTTGGTCGCTTTTTGCAATTAAAATAAATAAAAATTAATATTAAAAAAACCGACCAACTTTAGTCGGTAAATTCGGCCAGTCATTTTAAAAAACCGACCAACTTTGGTCGGTTATTTTCGTGCGAAAATACAATTAAAGAGTATAAATAAAAAAAAGACAATCTTAAAACAAAATGCCCAATGGTCTAGTGGTAGAATAGTATCCTGCCACAATACACACCCCGGTTCGATTCCCAGATGGTGAATCTTTTGATTACATAGTTAAAATACCACCGACCAACTTTGGTCGGTTTTTTTTTGCAATATTTTTTTTTAAATTTAATTTACCGACCAACGTTGGTCAGTAATTTCCGACCAACTTTGGTCGGTATACTAAAGCGACCACCAAAATACCGTCCAAGCGTACTTGGTCGCATTTTGGTCGGTAATTGGCCATAACTGACCAAAGTTGGTCGGTTTTTTTGGTCGCTAATTACCGGATTTCTAGTAGTGTTAGCATGTCAGAAATCACGTAAAAGCATTATGATCATATGCAGCTTTACATAGAAAAACTACACTGTATAGCCACTATCAAAAAAACAAAAAAACAATATATATATATATATATATATATATATATATATATATATATATATATATATATTAGCTAAAGAATATAATTATTTTTTATCGAACGACCGAATGTGTAACTTCCCCAATTACTTACGCAGGCATATAATGTGACGAACTTCCTAAATGATCATCCTGGTGGTGATGAAGTCTTGTTGGCAGCAGCAGGTAAGGAAATATAAAACGAATTAGGCCATCTCCAAGGCTAGCACCATTTTCTGCACCAAATTTTATATTAAAATGGTGTAACATCAAATTTACTCCAACTATTACATTATTTTTTTACACCAAATCTTGTCTTTCTTCTATATTATATTATTATCTTCTATTTACTTTTCATTTTTTTTTCCTTCAAACTAATACTATCTTTTTTCTTTTTTCCATATTCATTATATATAATTCACATTCACCACATATATAATCATTTATTACAAAATTATTTTAAAGGATAAATCAACTAAAAGTGAAATCATTGATAAAAGATAATTAAATAAATATTAATTTATTTTAAAGATAATTTAATTTAAAATTATAAAGATCTTAATATAAAAATTAATTGTATACACAATATGTGATAAATTAAAAGTTCAAAATAAAAATAAAAAGGATAAAATAATAATAAATCAAATTTGATGTTGATGAATAGTGTTACACCAACATCAAATTTTACACCAAATTTAGATTTGATGCAAAAAATAGTGCACCATTGGAAATGCCCTAAATTACCTTATTTGTTTGAATATTATGGTGTAAATTTGTAGATTGGGCTTTATCTTCTTTATGGTGAAGCTGTCGGCAAATTAGACCAGATGGCCTTTTCCTTTTCTTTCTCTTGTTTATATTTTTGTCTTTATTTTTTTATAATAATCTCCATTTTGGTTTAAGTTTGACAGATAACACTTAAATAAGATTTTGGACAAAAGGTTTATCTTTGTCACTTTTATTTTTTGTGTTAAATACGCACATGCCAGCTAAGCAAAATGGTGTGTTATTGACACACTTCTAAGAAATTGAGCGTGTAAAAGGTTGCCCGTGATACAGAGGGGTGTAACAGAGATTTGGATATAAGGTCAACGACTANTGTACCAAATTTGGTGCAACACTATTCATGTTCTATAATAGTGCAAGAAATAGTGTTGCATTGGAGCAAAAAAGCACCATTTCTTGCACCAAATTTGGATTTGGTGCAAGAAATAGAGTAGCCTTGGAGATGGTCTTAGGTGGATCAAAACAAGTTACATAAAAATGCATCCGATAACAACTCGATTTGTTTATAATTTGCTCAATCATTGAATTAAATATATATTGCATATATATAATAGGTCATAACTCAACGTCTACAACTCAATATTCCATTTTAAACAATTATTGCTACAAATTGGTTAAAATTAGTCAATGCATTTATTTCAATCTATATAATTGTAAGCTAACGAAATGAATAGCTTATTAAGTACTTTAGTTTAGGATTTCAAAATAGAGGGTTGAGATTAACTTGATTCATTATTGTGGACAATTATGTATTTACATATTTCTCTATGTAAATATCCATTCACTATAAAAGTCAAGTTTTTCTCGGAATCGATTTTTATATTATCTTATGATACATGTCCTCTATAACAAGTTAAATGAGATCACAATGCGAAATCTTTTACACTATCCAATAATTACAATAATAACATACCAGTGTGATCCCACAAGGGGTGTCCGGGAAGCTAGAGTGTATGCAGATTGTATCCCTATCTTATGTAAGGTAAAGAGGTTATTTGTGACAGATCCTCGGCATAAAATCTTTTACATTATCCGTGTACAAAAATTAAACTCTATTCATATATACCCTGACAGTCGTATTTCTATCTTTCATGCCAATGTTCATTTTCTAAGTTATAAATTCATTGTACAATTTTCTCTTTTTTTCATGTTTGTTCCTCTTTATAAAAAAAAAAAAAAATTGATTTTAGGCAAGGATGCAAGTGAAGAGTTTGAAGAAGCAGGACATGGCAGTGCAGCAAGATTAATGTTAGATGAATTCTATGTAGGAGAAATTGATTCTTCTACAAAAACTACTGTTTCTACAACCACAATTTCATCGACATATTTGCTTCAAAAACTACCTAAAATTGATAAGCACAAGTCATCTAGGCCAAATATTGTAAAATTTATTACATTTCTGGTGCCCATTGTAATTTTGGGGTTGGGCAGTACTCTTCTTAGGTTTTGGTATTGATCAAGAAAGAATGAAACTTAAGTTAATTTGGCTTTTCACTTCAGATTTGTATCATTTTATGTGTAATTACACTCTTGTTCTACTTAATTAGAAAGAGGAATTATAATTTATGAAAACCTTTAAGCTGTTCAATCCAAGATAATATTTTTCTGATTTATATTGCTGTTGAAAGAATAACAATATGGTCAAAGATCTGCAGAAACAGAAGAGAAGGAAATATGAAAACAAAAGGCTTTTTTTTCACTGTTAGTCCGCGCCAAAAATTATTTACATTCGATAGCCGAAAAAATATATAACAAGTGGATGTTGTCCTCGTTTGTCATGGGCAGAACTTCAAGTTTAATAAGTCTGTGTCCTCCGCTTGCTCCATGAGCATCACTTTCAACTTATGATCTTGAAGTTCTGTTCATAGTAAGTGATAGTCAAAAGCTAAAGAACATCCTAAAATGTATCATATTTCTATAATTTTTTGGGCTATGGCCAATAACGTCCTATGAAGGGGATCGGGGCTAACATTAAAGTTGTCTCCGCGTGACATATAAATTATAAGTTCAAGTCGTGAAAACAACTACTAATATTTGTATTTGAATAGATTATCTATATCATATCCCCTAGAGTGTGATTCCTCTCCGGACCTTGTGTCAATGAAGAATGCTTTGTACACCTACCAATACCAATAACATCCTATGCAATGGGGTCAAAAGCCATTTCAGGAGCAATAAATTTTCTTAGGAAACTATTGAAAAGGGAAAATTGGAAGGCTGTAATTTCAAATCAGGTAACAAACATTAATTGCTTATGACCAGTGCACATAGCACAACACAATCCAAACTAATATTGCAGCTCTTTGTAAGAGGGCACATGTAATTTGTGCAACATATTGCCATGTGTTGCTACAATGACACTAGCAGACTTCAAGAAAGCAACACAGAATTGTATTCTTTAAATAGAATTCACATCATGAAAAAGGTTTATTTGGGAGTTAACTTATCCACGTTAGATCACATTCTGGTGCATTAAGCTTTTGCTATACGCGGAATTTGAAAAAAGGCCGGACCACAAAGGTTTTATTGAACAACTTAGAAGTTGTTCATGATGAAGAGTTAGTTCTAATAACGTGTACGGAAGATACCGACCTTACATTACTCCGAAAGGTTCAGAATATGATTCCAATGAGTCCAACTTGCATTACATATATGTATCTATTTTACTCTATCTAGCCGCGCTATAGTCGGCCGGGTATGGCACGTATTGTGCAACCACTAATCAGTTGGATTCTATCGAGCTCCACGTGGCAGGGTACACTTCTACCGAGCCTTATGATGGCCGGGTACATTTTTACCGAGCCTATTACAGCCGGGTATGATATGATGATGATGATGCCCACAGAGGCGTATGCTTTAAAAGTTTATGTGTGTGTGTGTGTCTATATATATATATATATATATATATATATATATATATATATATATATATATATATATNCTATCCCTGTTTACATTACTGTTCTTACTTATGCTTTCCTGCCTTACATACTCAATACTTTATTCGTACTGATGTCCTTTTTATTTGTGGACGCTGCATGTCGTGCTGCAGGTCCTGATAGACAGGTAGACGCAGCTCCCCCACCACAGTAGACTGCCCAGTTCGGCGATTATTGGTGAGATCCTTTCTCCGGGCTTGCCGCGGTCTTGGTATGCATTTTTGTTATAGACATTATGGGTATGTCGGGGCCTTGTTCCGGCAATGTTGCAGCACTTATGTTCCTTTAGAGGCTCATAGACAGGTGTCGACTCATGTATAGTTTGGATTGCCTTGTCGACTGATTTTTGTTGTATAGTCTCTCATGGCAGCTTGTCAGCTCGTACCTTATATATAGCTTCATGACAGCCTTGTCGGCCCATATTATATATGTTCATGCCATTATCTGTCATTGTTGGTTGTTTAGGACAAATATTGTAAAGCTTCTTCAGTTTTTGGTGCGCATTGTAATCTTGGGGTTGGGCAGTACTATACTTAGGTTTTGGTATTGAAAGGAAGAATGAAACTTAAGTAAATTTGGCTTCTCACTTCAGATTTGTATCATTTTATGTGTAATTACGCTCTTGTTCTACTTAATTAGAAAGAGGAATTATATTTATGAAAACTTCTAAGCTGTTTAATATGGGACAGATCTATAAACCTGTTCAATCCAAGATAATATTTTTCTGATTTCTATTGCTGTTGAGAGAATAACACTATGGTCAAAGATTTGCAGAAACAGAAGAGAAGAAAACATGAAAATAGTAGGGCTTTTTTCACTTTTAGTCCGCGTCAAAAATTATTTATATTCGATAGTCGAAAAAATATATAACAAATGGACGTTGTCTTCGTTTGTCATGGGCAGAACTTCAAGTTTAATAAGTCGTGTCCTCCACTTGCTCCATGAGCATCACTTTCAACTTATGATCTTGAAGTTCTGTCCCTGGAATAAGTGATAGTCAAAAGCAAAAGAACATCCTAAAATGTATCATATTTCTATAATTTTTTGGGCTATGGCCAGTAACGTCCTATGAAGGGAGCGGGGCTAACAATAAGGTTGTCCTCGCGTGACATATAAATTATGGGTTCAAATCGTGAAAACAACTATTAATATTTATATTTGGGTAGATTATCTATATCATATCCCCTAGAATGCAATTCCTTTCCTGACCTTGTGTCAATGAAGAATGCTTTGTACACCGACCAATAACATCCTATGCAATGGGGTCAAAGGCAATTTCAGGAGCAGTAAATTTTCTTAGAAAACTATTGAAAAGGGAAAATTGGAAGGCTGTAATTTCAAATCAGGTAACAAACATTAATTGCTTATGACCAGTGCACATAGCACAATACAATCCAAACTAATATTGCAGCTCTTTGTAAGAGGGCACATGTAATTTGTGCAACATATTGCCATGTGTTGCTACAATGACACTAGCAGACTTCAAGAAAGCAACACAGAATTGTATTCTTTAAATAGAATTCACATCATGAAAGAGGTTTATTTGGGAGTTAACTTATCCATGTTAGGTCACATTCTGGTGCACTAAGCTTTCGTTATACGCGGGATCTAAAAAAGGCCAGACCACAAGGATTTTATTGTACGCAGTCTTACCCTACATTCCTGCAAGAGGCTTAACTTATCCACATTGAAAATATTAAAAAACTCACATTGTCTTGTGAAATTTAATCAGTTTTAAAATATTATCAACCTTATTTTTCAGATAATTAATTTCACTTATTATAGGCGATCATACATGTTACAACCCATATTCACGTACGTTTGTTCACGCCGTAAGTTAGTCGACGTAAATCCGAGAAGAGATTATCTTTGAGATGATAAGAAGTTAATCCTATCCGTCTTAAATGACTCAAAGGTGTATAAGAGTGGTTAACAAGTATTAGAAGTTAAACGAATCAAGGATGTTGTAACCCGTATTTTCGGGTAAAACTAGAGGTTCTTAATATTCCCAAGAGCTCATGTTTTAAGGTATTTGAATCATATAATATCCGTATCATAAGTCTTGAAGTCAAACGAGTTATGAAACAAAAGTCGACAAAAGTTGTCGCAACTTACGTTCATAATTTTACTTAAATTTTAGGTTAAATGTTACTAAGCTTTTCTCCCAATTTAATTGGAATTACTTGGTGATCACCAAATTGAAGATCTATGAGTCTAGTTTCCAACGCATTAAACTATTTGTCGATACGATCTCGGAGTAGAGAGATATTCGCGTTTTCGCGAGACTACGCCAAGCATCTCTTTATGGGGCCCACATAGGTGGTTAAGACATATGGATATATATAAGATGCCTCAACCCCGTTTTAAGTCATTATTTTTCAGTATATTCATACCATATAACCCTAAAATCACTCTCTCAACGTTCTCTCATGATCCAAGATCCAATCAAAGGGCAAACAACACAAATCAAGTGTAGGGAATCCCGTGGCGCTAGAAAGTTTCTTGTTCTTCTTGTTGTTGCTGATTTTTGTGTTGTTCCAGCTCGTGTGGGAGGTTATTTTAAGTGGTTTATGTTATGTAAATTACTCCCTCAAGTTTTTAATATCAACCCTAGGTTATTTCAAGTCTCTTAAAGTGGTTATAGTGCCGAAAAATCCTAATTGATTGCTAGTTTCGCTTCCTTGTTCTTGTGGCAGCATTGGAAGGATATTTCGTGGTTAATTAAGGTCAAATTGGAGTTGTTCTTTCGGTTTAAAGGTAAGGAACCTCTTACTCTACATGTATTTAAGATTATCAAGTTGCGGCTAAGTCGTTGAAGCTAGAACTTGTGAGATATATATCGAAAGGCTTGTTAGTAATATTTTTGGTTGGTGGACTATTTTGGGAGGCTCAATATGATTATTATTGATGTTGTTTGGGTTGTTTGGTGATTGTTTTAACTTGTAGGAAGTCATATAAATAGGGGAGGTGCTGTCCGTTTCATCATAAAATAGGTTGCGGTCGATACATAATAGTTACGACGCTTAAATGATAACGATAGTGTCATTTCTCTTATTGTAGACTAAGGAGTCGTGAAATTTGCATAGCTTGAGGTTGGGCAGTATATACAAGGCATGTGAGGCAATCCCTTTGCTTCTTTTGCACGACTCCGAGTTTACATAATGTAATGAACGAGCTTCCAAAGATACTCCACTCTTAGAAGCTAGCAGTACCTACATTATTTCTCTTCTTATGGAACGATTGATGTTGATGTTGCTTCTCTTATTCTTATGTTATCAATGTTGTTGGTATTTCCCGATTCTTATAAGATTCATGATGAAGAGTTAGCCCTAATAACGTGTACGAACCTTACATTACTCCGAAAGGTTCAGAATATGATTCCAATGAGTCCAGCTTGCATTATATATATGTATCTATTTTACTCTACCGAGCCGCGCTATAGTCGGCCGGGTATGGCACCTATTGTGCAACCACTAATCAGTTGGGTTTTACTGAGCTCCACATGGCAGGGTACGATTCTACCGAGCCTTATGATGGTCGGGT